CATCCTGCTGGTTCACACCAGCAGTGACCCTAATATAGATCCCCCATATGCTATTATCCTTACTATTGGGACCCCAAAATGGTACCCGTAATTTTGGGAAACCCTGATCCCCATAAACCCCTATGTAAACCCGGTTTCCATTTCATCTTCCATATTCTTTTCATTTGATTCACCGATATTGGAGAATAATCAGCACCAAAAGGGAGGATCTGAATGAAGCGCCATCAGCCCTGCCCATGCTCTGCCAGTTCTCCAATGGAAATGAGCTATAGTCTAAACTCCTCGTCCTAGTATCCCCCTTAATACCTCTATAATAGGAACCCTGTATAATCCCTCATCTTACCCCTAAGGAGGTTCTGACTAGATCTCAAATGGAGCACTAGAAGTTGCTGATCCTTAGGCTTCATTGGTTGGGTGCTCATGCAAGTCTTTAGACTGTGCCCATGCTTAGGCTTTAGAGCTCTAAGTGCAAATACAAACCATCGGCTATGGCCTACTGCCCGTTCACCTGAAGTGAGTGGCACTAAACGTCCACAATCCACGTGGCCGTCTTAAACTATGATCCCGTTTAGGGCAGTCTATTGTATTAAAAGTCAGTGGTATGGTACATGGGGTACCTCAAAATGGCATGAAATTAAGAACAAAAACCGCAAGACCTTTCGTCCCGGTCAGGCTCCAGATCAGGTGACTGACTGTGAGAATCGATTCCCGTCGCTTGGCGACCGGTTCGCCGTACTCAAGGCACCAGTTCCGCGTGCTAGCCTCCATGTCTGTTGCCTACCGCACATCTTGAACTAGGCTGATGGGACCCCGGCATGTGCAACTCGGTGCGGCAGGAGAAGTGATAAGAAGATTACATAGGTCAACAACACATGGAGTGTTCCAGGCAGCCTAGAAGGTGTATCCCTTTCCAAGCCAGTAGCCAACTGCCTACCACTTCTGGCGAAAGGATTCCATTGTGTTGGGTAGGAAGGCTTTTCGGGTCCAGTTTGTAAAGGTCCTCTTCGAAGTGGCAGCAGAAGATCTCGCTACCATATAGAGGCTCGAGTGCGAGGCAAGTGCAACCCTCAAGCCACACAGCCCGGGGCTTCATAGCCGTGGCTTACACGGCCAGCCCTTGCCATACGCAAGGACCACCAGCAGCAAAGTGAGACCAGCAAAACCCACTGCACCCCACAATGTTGTGGTATACAGAAGGTCGGAAATCACCGCACCCGCAAAAAAGAAGATGAAGAAGACCTCAGGACCATGAGTCTGCTACAAGCAAGAACCTGTCTGGAGATCCTACAAAAAGTCAAGTACACTGTTGTAGGAATGTAATGCAATGTTGACATTAGTTATAGTCAACTGGATTTCCAGGTGCATGTCAGACCAAACAGCTCAGCTTCCAATCGCGTCCATGTTAAGTTAACTCTGGTGTTGGTCGACCTATAGGATCATTGCGGGATCTCTTTAAAAAAAGCCCCAGAATATCAAGCTGTACACTACAGTTACAGTCCACCCATCAGCGTTTGAGAGCTTAGGGTTTCTTATCTAGAGTTTGGGGTTCAGGTAGAACAGGATGCAACTACCGTGAACGATCAGAACGAGTCGCAAGAAAAATGGCTAGGCTCATCAAGTAGTCCAACCTTGGCTGCGGCAGCAGTGGTAGTCGCTTCCCTCTGATGGTAAGCAATGCCCCGTCCAAAAAAGTGCAGTCTTGGGTCGGGATGCAATCACGAGAGGTATGTGGGTACCGATGATGGCTTCGATTCTCTAGGAATGAACGCACAAGTCCCTCAGTGGGAATCCTTATCCTTTAGCTCGTGGTTTATGCTGGGATAAACTCCATTATGGAGCCTCATGCAAACTATAAACATTAGGAAATCAAGAAAACCAAATCTCTAGCATAGCTTTGGATTCTTTCATGTACACTCTTTCATAAAACTGCAATGCAATTAGCAGGTTTAAGCCAAATATTTACACTCCGTTACATTCCTGCATTCACCCTAGTTTAACAAACCCTTATGACATCAATACGTTCCTTCCATCCAGGGCATCCTACATCCCTGATGATTCTGTACAACAACTCCCCAAATCCTTGTGGAATCAAGGTAGTTCAATACTGATGTCGCCATAGTTGGCCATGTTAAACAACAGCCTTATAAATCATGAATCCCTAAACCCAACACTGGAGTGGAAGGACATCGCGCGGGGTTCTACCTCTTTGAGGATCTTTTGAAACCTAGAATCCCCCATGTAATACCATACATGCATGTAGGCCAGCCTATAGGAACTAGGAGAGATTCATTCACTTTAGAGATCATCCCTAAGGTTGGGGTTGTTAAAAGAGCAACGAACTTACAGGAAGCTTACCAGATTTAGGGTGTATAAGCTGAAGCTATCCCGGATCGTGAAGACCGGCGGGGGGATTGCCGCGATGCATCATTCAAAACTTTACGTGAACACACTCACTTCGCGGCTTTCGCACCTGTATGTTCAAGTTGCAGGTGGGCATTTAGAATTTTCAGAAATCCAGTGCAGGGCGCAGAACCAAGAGAGCGCGCGTGTGACATGCATTGGGGCGGATCAGAAGAGGGATGCCCTCGGGACGTGTTTGCAGAGATTCTACATGACGATGGGATGCATCTTGCCAAGGATTACCCTACATTCATTGTGCTGCAGGAGTGGAAGAGAGGACTGTAGGTACGAGCCACCATCAAAATCGTTCAAGGGTCCCGAGGAAAAGTCAAGCAGGCCCCTGGCAACTAGGGAGAGGTTGTTTACAGAATCAGAGTTAATTCCTGCACCCACCCCAATGCGAAAACCATGGCGGAACAGTCAGACTCTAGCTTTTTGATAAGAACGGAAACCTTGGGGTATTCTTTTCCATTATTCCCTGTATTCCCCCTATGTTACTATATTACCCCCATATTATCCTAGGGTGGTAGGGGCAGGCCATTAAAAGCAGGCCAGGAAGCAGCTTCGACGACCGTGGAGCGGCGAATCTGTCGCAGAGCCACCACATCACCTATCGGGAGACCGTACCTACGGTGACCTCTTAGCACCTAAACGAGGTAAAGGGGTTTAGGCTTTAGGGTTAGGGAACCAAAATATCAGGTACATAGCCCTTGGTTAAGATTCATGAGAACCCCATAAGTGAACGGTTCACCAAAGGGGAACATCCAATCAGTAGATTCATTCTTGAGTAGTGTTCGGGGATCGGGAATAATGGTCACATGTGAGCTATAGTCTAAACTCCTAGAATCCCCCTTAATAACCCTATAGTAGTCCCCTATATAATCCCCTATATAACCCCCTTTAAGGAGTTTAGACTATGGCTCATGTGGCATGCCCACATCCAAGCACTGCGATGAATATGATCGGCCTCCAGGGCTTTGGCGCAGCATCGGGGAGCTTGGCTGTGCTAAGGACTGGCTCTTGAACTACTTCGTTTTTTTTGGTTGAGCCTGCAGAGTGGGAATCGCTTTCCCAAGAGGTTCTCTACGATGTCAATATGACGATCCACTGTCATAAGGATTGCGCAATTCCCCCCTCATTGGGCATGTTTAACATCATCTCTGCCTACAAACCCATGCCCATAGCCCTCAAAACCTAGCCCCCTAGACCCTGAATCCGCTAAAACCTAAACTCCTAGATCTAAACGCCTAACAGCTTAACAGCTCTACAGTACCTCCCCATATTTCAAAAAAGGCCTTGATGCAAAGCAGGATTACTATTACTATTATGACTATAACTATTATGACTATCACCATTATGACTATTACCATTATGACCATTACTATTATGACTCTTACTACTGTTGATACTAACAATCCTGCATGACCTCTTTTTATACAACAGTCCCATTATTCCCAACATATAATGTACTTAGGGTCATGCAGGATTTTTAGTATCCCCTAAACCCTAAACCCTAAACCCTAAACCCCTAAACCCTAACCCTAAACCCCTAAACCCCTAAACCCCTAAACCCCCGCAAGGCCTTGATGCAGAGCAGGACCCAGAAGAGGACCCAGCCCATGGCCGAGCCGACCAACTCTGACACCACGGCAGGGAGGGGCGCCCCTGCCAAGGGATGGGTTTATAATGGATTTATAATGGGTTTATAGTGGGTTTATAGTGGGTTTATAATGGGTGTATAATGGGTTTATAATGGGTTTATAGTGGGTTTATAGTGGGGTTTATAATGGGTTTATAATGGGTTTATAGTGGGTTTATAATGGGTTTTATAGTGGGTTTATAATGGGGTTTATAGTGGGTTTATAATGGTTTATAGTGGGTTTATAATGGGGTTTATAGTGGGTTTATAATGGGTTTATAGTGGGTTTATAATGGGGTTTATAATGGGTTTAGAATGGGTGTATAATGGGTTTATAATGGGTTTATACTGGGTTTATACTGGGTTTATAGTGGGTTTATAATGGGTTTCGAATGGGTTTATAATGGGTTTATAGTGGGCCAAGATACTAGGGTATATATTGGGGATTTATAGGGATAATGGAAAAGAAAATGGAAACTACTATAGGGTTTCAGGCTTCAGGCTTAAAGTGGAGAGATTTAGGTTTTAAGGGCTTGGCGTAGAGCGATTTAGGGCGAGCAACGCCATCTGGGCAGAAAAGAGCTGTTCACTGCCGTACAGATACCCGCAAATTGTGAAGTTTCACACTGCTGGAAAATTCCCCACCGCCCCCAAAGTAGCAAATGTAGCAGCAGCCGGCGTCCTGGTAGGAAGAGGCACGGCAAAAAACTTGGAAGACAGTCTACGCAGCTTCATCTACAGCATGAAGGGAGGTTGAAGTGTCAATGGTGTCAGTCCAACATTGAGCTGAGCCTGCATCAAACTCATCAATCCCAAAGGCAAATGTGTCACATCCCGCTTCCTCATAGAACCTCAATATCTGTCCAGAGCTGTGAAGGTAGCCCCTGAATCAACCCCAATCAATTGCAAGCATCCTGAAACAAAGGTCCCTCAGGCTGCTTGTAACTTGTTCGCCATTGCTCAGGCCGGCCCTTAACCCTTGAGAGTACCTCCGGCGCTGACAGTCTGTCCGGAATCCGGCCTCCTCGAACGAAGGAGAGCCTCTGAACATGGGGGGCTCTCAACTTAGTTGGTCCAGCAACTAGGTTGATGGTTAATTACTATACTTATTTTGAGGGTACATCAGAAAACCCCTAAAGTAAAGCAATCCCCAGATGTAGGACATCGATTGGGAACGTGCAATACCGTTCCCCTTTCAGAGCTTCTTACATGGGATACCCTTGAGGACACCTTGCATGCGAAGATAGGGTCACTCCTGGGATCCTACAGAAAGTCCTGCAAACCCAGTTACCACAGATTCATGGGCTCTACCTGCGGCGTGGAATCAGAATGAAGCTCAAAAACCTGGGCCTGAGAAAGGACTCTAAAACCTGAATTCTGAGCCCCTGCACAGTCAGGGATAAACCGAAGCCCCTGACTGCTCAACCAGGGAGTTGAGCCCAGCAGCAGCACGTCCAGCGCCACGCCCATGGGACCAAGAGCTATCATCAGAGCATAGCTCAGCCTGGGATGATACCATGATATGGGGGGTCTCCCAGAATTAGGGGTACCCTTTTGGGGTCCCCGTAATAGGTATCATAGTATATCAGGGTCTATATTGGGGTGGATGGAGTTAAGGCCTACTCGGGAAAGGCGAAGGGAACAGCAGCAAAGAGAAGCTAAGCTTTTCACAGAAAGTATTGAGAAAAGGTCGGCTTTCCAACCGAATCGCCATGAAATCTGAGAACTTCTTCCAGCTAGGGATTACTTGGGAGATCCCAGCTCAGACGCTAAGCCCCCCAATGGTTCTAGGAAAATGGTCTCTACGGCCCAACTAGACAGCATTCGAGCAGCGGAAGGTCAGTCGCAGACATCCCGAGCAGTTCCTTGCGCAGAGTGCCTCTGCAAAAGCTTCAAGTTGCTAGATGTTGCACACGTTCTTGAATTGCTTGCGCTTTCTGGATTTGGGTCTTGGCGTCAGTCAACGACTTGTGGGGTCAGGCCTGTCGAGGGCTCACGATTAGAGAGCTTTCCCAGGGTTAGGGTCAGGGGGTCAGCTGTCTGCTTCTGGTAGTCGCTGGGATAAGGGGATGCACCTGGCGGAAAAGATCGAGGGCTCTGTAGCCCACAGTTACTTTGGGGCCCCCAGGCGCTTTGATCACATTCTTTGCTCCAGGCGGTCTTCAGAAGATCTCTACAACCCGACCTTAGACCTCAAATGGGGATCTTGGCCACTTCTCGACCTCTTTGTGAGCAAGGCATTGATTGTTGTCTTTTGACAAGATACACCCCAGCGCTGCGCAAGGACACATGATGGGCATGTTGCCGTGCTTGGCTGGCCACTCGTAAAAGACAGGGGTCTCTCACAATCAAGGTGGCGGCGTCTCGGAATGGTAGGGGGTTCTTCAAGTGGGTAGTATCTCAGGGCTGAAAAATTTAAGGGGTCTTAAATAGGGCGTTGGTGTTTATTTTCTTATAGAAAATTCTTAAGGGCTAGAAAAGAAGAAACATGGCAGCAGCTATGAAAGCTTCTACGTTATCTGAGGTGCCCCTCCTTCTGGAGCATGATCATAATTTCGCAGGTGCCGTCTTCGCTCAGAAAAGGACAACATCAGCCCCTCAGCCCAACACAACATTCTGCAGCCTGGGACCGCAGATCCCTTCCATTCCGCAACCTAAACTCTACGATCATCTCTGCAACAATGCAATTCTTCCCACAGCAAATTTGTTACTCCCAACCCTTGAGCATTGAACGCTAATTAAAACCTAAATCCTGAACCCAAACCCCTAGATCCTAAACCCGAACCCTAAAACCGACTGCTGCCCCCGCGGCCGCGGACGTAGTCCTCAAAAGCTTTTGCACTTCCATACCAGGCAGCAATAGCCGACAACACGAACCTCGCCACTCGAGGTTGTCGGGAGTATGCTTCAGGATTCAAACCCCCTGAAGCCTAAATTCTTCACCCTAACCTAAACCCTTAAGGCGCCTGAGATGGGGTGAATGCCGCTACTTGCTGTCTTCTAGGCACCGTCTACAATCCTAACCCCGGTCGGAAACCAAGCCGAGCGCCCTCACTGAGTCCTCTACTAGTGACACTTCAATCCATGGGGCTTCTGCTGGAGCCGCTACCAACTTTGACCTAGAGAGTACCATCCCAAAGCATTTGCCGCTACTCTCTCCTCCCCTGTCTGCTACAGGTCTCTCCTACATACAGCTACCACCGCAAGCACCGCAACCCTGCTGCTGCCATTTCCAATTCGGCCCATTTCCAATTCGGCGAACCAGCTGACCATCTGCCAATTCAGGTAGGGAGCTCCCTGTCTGACTCCAGCCGGCATTCCGCAGCCTGCGCCAAGGCAAGCACACCTATAACCAATACGGCACCAACCATGAGAGCTGTTCAACATCAGGGAGAAGCGAGACAGTACACATAAGGCCAACTGCGGAATAGAAGGAAAGAGGGTTAGGGGCGGTTGGCCTTTGCAAGATTTTGAAGGACATTCAACCGTGTCATTGATTATTTGCCACGCGTTAGTCACACCTTTGGTCACTCCTATTGCTACTGTTGCTAGTAACTCCCTCTAGGGTCATGCTCTCATTGCCATTGGAAGATGTCTGCTCTGGATGGCTGGACCCATGCCTCGAGCGTGAAGTTCTCCAAAACCGATATGAGCTGGTGCTTCTCCTCTGACACCGCGGTACGGCTCTAAGGTTCAGGGTCTGAAGGGGTGGTCCCCTAAATGTAAGCAAAGTCCGCCAGGCCCTCTTATGGCCGTTGTAGGTCCTATTACAGGCAAATAACGCTTCTTCGTGCCGAGACCCACAAACGAGCTATGGCTTTAAGTTCCAACTATGTAAGAGGTGCATTACCAAATAGGGCAGTACTCCTTGAAGGAGCTTCCTCCTTGCTATGGCATCCCAGACAGGCAGCCCAGTTATTTCTGCTATAGACGCAGGTACGATTACTACAACTACTAGTATTTCTTTGAGTATTGACTATTACCATTGCCAGTACGATTGCTGGTGAGGAGCAAGGATGCAGCGGCACCTACAACATGAAACCAAATGTGCTTGCTCCAGTCCTGCGAGTCAAATCTTAAGGTACTCAACTTCTCCTCATCATGTGGAGTCTAGTTATCTAGTCTTGCCTAGCATGATTAAGTTGTGCAAACCAGCAGGCGAAACGATGCCCTCTGCATTTTCTAGGTCTTAGACGCTCAGTTGCGAATCCCTAGCACATGGAAAGATTGGCCTAAAAACATCCACAGATCTCAAAAGCTGCAACTGATCCTGATAGACAGGGCGCAAACACGGACGCACAATTTTCATAACCCTGCATTGTCCCTCATGAACTTCCGATTGGTATGCACGATGAACAGCATGGGCGTGACCGTCAACCTCAGTGGGCCGCAGCCAAAGAAGTGAGAAGCTACCGTTTTGTCAGGGGATCATTCCTCCGTTTCCTACTTCAGGGCCTACCCTACACTGTCCTTCCAAAAGGGGGCTGTATCGGGCTCCATGTTGCATTTGGGGTTATTTGGCCTGACGCTGAGCTGAGTCCATGGTTTGGAGCTCTGCACGTTGGGTCAATTGCATTACTTAGCGGTTTCCATGGAAGTAAATGATTGTCGCATCGTCCTGCACAAGTGAGGCCCCTACATTCCCTATATAACCCCCATATAACCCCAATATAAGCTTATGACTTATGATAGTAGTTTCCATTTTCTTTTCCATTATCCCTCTCTAATCCCTAGACACTTCCTCCAATGCTATCCAAGCTGCATGGTTACCGGGAGGCTGAACCTTACTGCTCACGAGCAGATCTTGCTCCGAACTAACATGGAACCACATAGGACGACAGTCGGCTTTATGGCTCCATGTTTGTTCGGGGCAGGTAAGGCAGGGTTTGGGAATTGGGGCACAAGGCGCCAGAAGAGGCAAAAAGCGTGAACCTGCTGACAAAAAACACAAAAGAATGGCAAGAAGAAGCACACAGCCCTGAAGAGAAGTTAGAGATTGACTCCCAAATCCCTCAAACTCTGAATCCTAAAATCCAAACCCCAACACCTACATCTTGAGCTCTAAACCATACAAGACACAGGGATGAAAGAGAAAGACGTCTATTCAAGTTGGAGTCAAGGAGCCTCAGCCCCAAGCGCACAGCAAAAACCTGGTGGGAGGCTGTCAAAGGTTCGAAATAGGTATTGAGGTTTGGAGTTGCGTTTTGGATTTAAGTGTTTAAGGTCACCTCCTATGATGTCTTTTCTGGCTTCCCTGCTGTTCATCTCTTGCATTTGGAATTCTGCTCTCAGCTGCAGGACTCAAAGCAAGACACAAAGACATGATTGGCTCCCCAGGAGGCCAAAAAAACAAACAAGACCACAATGTAGGAAACCGTATATCACCCCTAGAGAACCCCTATAGAACCCATTATAACCCGCCACCAACTTCTGCTCTCAAGACATCAAAGCGCGATGCAGAAGATGCCAGCGCCAACATAGCTGCCCAGCATAAGCAAGAAGGCTTGACCTGGGACGTGTACGATATTATACTATAAGATACAATATTAAACCATAAAATACCATATTATACCATAATATACCATACTAGACCATCGTATATTATAATATACCATACTGTACCATATTATACCATATTCTAATATACTCTACAGGTTTAAGCTTATAGCACTTCATTGCTAGGAGGCTTAGGGATTCGGTGAGGCACTTGGTGCCTCGTCAATAACAAACATGGTTATAGCATCAGTCGCTGCTGCAGCAGCAGCAGCAATAGCTATAGCAATTGGAGTTGTAAAAGTAGTATAATAGTAATAGTAGCAGTACTAGTAGCATTGATGGAAACAGTTGTAGCCGTGGTAGTAGTAAAAGTAGTATAATAGTAATAGTAGCAGTACTAGTAGCATTGATGGAAACAGTTGTAGCCGTGGTAGTAGAAGCGCGGCAATAACAAGCAAGAGATGGCGGCCGCTGCTGCGCTGCGGCTGCTGCCGCCGCCGCTCCTCTCCTCCTCCTCCTCCTGCCCCTAGTGCCTACGCCGCCACTGATTCTGCCAACAACGCATGCAGGACAGAATCCCAGCAGGCGGACCGACAGTGACATTTGGAACAGCAACATTTCGAGATGTGCAAACGCTCATGATGTCACGAAGAAGCACCGCAACCACGAAACTTCGTCACAATAGAAGGCTAAGACCGAAAGATTTGCGCTTGGTCAAGATTTTCTCCTTGGCCCGATTCTGCGCTGTTGCTGTACTGTAACAGGACTGCAGGCATTTTGGGATTTCGGATGGATTGTAGGTGGACACAGCAGATCACTGTGCCCCCGCTTCAGGGTTTCACAGTCAACCTAGGCTCTGAACCAAAGTTCATTCAGGCATGCGACCGAACAAAGGTTTCCGAAAATGATCAATACCCTTTTGGGGCATCCCAGCGCAATAGATTCGAGATTTTAGTGCTGATAAGTGTCACTCCGTTCATCTCCATTGTTGGGAGTACAGAAGTAGGATTCAAGGCTCAAGGTGACCAAACAAGCCCAACAAGCCCAGATTGGTAATGACCCATGTGTGCCCGCTATCAAGGTAAACGACCAACCCACCCCTGAACCTACTCGGAAGCTTCCGGAGAGCTGCAAGCGTTAAGGTTGCTGATGCTGTTTCTGGTGACATCTGGCCGCTCGTACTTAGAACTTCTCTGAACCCGGACTAACATACACCAAATTCTGAAGCCAGAAATTAACGCGGGACAAGTTTCCATGTACACCACCTTTTGGGTTGACTGTATAGCACTTATATGTTTATAGCTGTATGACTTTCAGCACCATGCAAACCAGTGGCGCTCCACAAAGAGTGGCTTCATGCACACCGGTTTCTCGGGATTAGCCTTGGCTGTTCGGGTTCTTAAGTCTCAGGATAAGGGCCCACCAAAGTAACATGAGCCATAGTCAAAATTCCTGGTATCACCCTTACTAACCCCTATAATAGTCCCCTTTACAATCCCTATATAATCCCCCTTTAAGGAGTTTACCTAGAGCTCTGTATGGAAGACCTGAAAAGGGTAAATCCCATCTGGGTCGACCTTAAACCCTAATCCTCAACCTCTGAACCCCTCATCTCTAAATGCAAAACCCTTCCTCGCTCAAAAACGTTATACCCAGAGCCCAACTCCACGACCCACCCTGAACCCTAAACCCAGCCAGGCCGCTTTGCGGAAAGCGGCAAGTTCGAAAACACACCACAGGCGAGACCTCTGGGGTTGGCAAAGTTTTGCGCGAACAAGGGTTTAGGGTTTAGGGTTCAGGGTGTAGAGTGTCAGGCTTTGACGGTATAGGGTTGTAGGGTTTAGGGTTGGATTACTATTACTATTGCTATTACTATTACTATAACTATTACTATTACTATTCAAGGCAATCGAGACAAGAGACCTCCCTGCTTCAGTTGTCAAACGCGAACAGCTTCAGTGACTGAGAGCAGGACAGGTACGGCGGTGACCACCTGAGTTCTTACGTCTTCTTTTGATTCCCTGTTGGTTGTCTGCCCAAACACAAGAAACCCCAAGAGTGGAGAATCAAGCTGAAAAGAAATTGGAAATTAAATAGGAACTTGTGGGGGGTATGTATATGGCTACATGCCGGAACCCAAAAACCTGCCGTGCGCACCCCGCACCATGCATTACAAATTCCAAAGCAATTTCATGGCCCAGCCAAGTTGCAACACGCGCAGCTCGTTCGAGATACTCCTTGCAGCTTGGGCATGTTTTGTTGATGTTGTCTTTTGGAGCATATCACGCGTTGCAAAACAAAAGTTTGACTGTAGCAATCATAGCCTAAACGGGAGTTTCCAAAAGTGTGTCCCCCTCTTTTCAGAATCCTTACCAGGTAAGGTTCCACTTTTCGGCTTCCACGGCATTCCACAGCCGTCCAAAACGTGTCGAATGTTACCTCTTGGAACCGCGTGTAGGTACACATCCTTATTCGGGGAAATTCGGATTGCGCTACGTATTCTCAAGCACACTGGAAACCCGGAATGTGCCTCGGTGATCTCCAGAACTCGCCTTTATATCCCTGCATGTCCCCCCGCCTTGACTGGATCCATACTTTTAGAGGGGACCCTGAATTTTGCAAACACCCGAGTGTCTGCCAAGAGGCAAAAAGCCGCCTAAGCCGTAGATGCCCCGTTCCATGAGATCCGGGTCCGCCCTGGGTGCGACCAAGTCGGTTATGAGACTTAGGGGGCTTCAAAACCAATTATCTTGAAAGACTTCAGGGCTCTTAAGGTGGGGTGGGAATTGAGGGTTGGGCTAAAGGCCTTCCAGATCTTGGGGGCTTGGGGGGGTTCCTGGCAAGATGGGGGGGTCATCTCTCTTCCCGGACACACAACTGACCGACAGGATCCAAAGCTGGATGGCGAGGGAGATGGTCTTTGCAACGTAGGGTGTTCCAGACGAAGTGATTGCAGGCTGATTGATGTTATCAACTCGGGCGATTGTCAGCATCACCGTCTACATTTGTTAGCCCAAACGACGTTCCAAGATGGAATTCCTAAACCCTGAATGGCGCCCATTGGAAATGAGGTTTAGTAGCCCCTGCCTGACCTGAAGTTTCTACCAAGCATCTGATTGATACTGACCACATCCAGGAAGCATTTCGGTGAATGGCAGACGAAAAGCCAGTACCTCAAGAAAGGGTCGCTGTACCCCTGATTGCTTGCTTGGCCTCTCACCAGCTTTTGCATCACAATGGCAACGGGGAGGTACCACCTCACCCATCGGGATCTTACAAACCCGAGCAAAGCAGGCACATCTCGAAAACTAGTGTCATCTAGCAGGGGCTATAGGATTTCGCCTGGATATAGCATGGATTTGTTTAGAAACTCCCATGCATGGTGGCTGCATGCAGTATCAACCACAGCTGATTTGGCGCCGGGCTTACAATCTAGGCTTCCCCCCGTAAATATGTATATATGTATGTATGTATCTTCATGGCTACTGGAGGAGGGAAACACTGATTTCACGATGCCCTTGCTGACAATGACCACGGCGGCAAATCACAGGAAAGCAAGTCAAAAGTGGTCTCCAAAGGAATCAAACGAGCCCTAAACCCTGAACCAGAAAACCCCAAACCGTACACCCTAAACCATCCTAAACCCTAAACACCCTAAACCCTAAACTGAATCCCTAAATCAGTAGGGACTGGGAGCAGCAAGGCTACTTCCCGTCCCGTAGCTCTTGCAGGATCCTGGAACTAGCATTACTACAAGTACGAATGCTATTACTACTACAAGTGCCATCATTACTCATACTGTTACTATTTTTCCTGATACCATTCTTATTATTTTCTATTACAAGTACTAAATGTTACTGTTTCAACCCACTCCTTCATTCCCTCGCAGCTGCGGGGATAGGAAGAGACCGATCAGCGCCGTGAGAACTCCGGAGAGGTAGACCCACCTTGGTCCATAGAGGAAAAGAGAATGGAAACTACTATAATGGGGTTATTTGAGGTTTGTATAGGGGATATAGCGAGGCTGGAAAAGAGAATGGAAACTACTATAATGGAAACTACTATAATGGAATTATATAATAGGGTTTTATGGGGGATATATAGGGAGAATAGAAAAGAAAATGGAACCTACTATAATGGAGTTATATAACAAGGTTTTTATAGGGGATATATAGGGAAAGTGGAAAAGAAAATGGAAACGGCAATAGGGGGAATGTATTAGGGATATATAGTGGTAATATTGAAATAATGGAAAAGAAAATGGAAACTATAGTGAGTAAAGTTGGGTTAGCAGAACTCTGTCTCGAAGCCACATGCAAGCTGAAGATGGGCCCTTTGTAGACTTACTGCTACTTGCAATTGGGTAGGGTAGAATTTCGCGCTTGGGGTTCAGGGCTTAGGGCTCTCCTTTTGTCATGACTTCCTGGCATCTGTCCTCTGCCCCTCCACCAAAGCATCCTCCGTTCATTGAATCTGCTCAGAGCTTGAGACCAGCAACCCCCCAAATCCTACATGGGGCCTTCCAAATATAGGATTTCCAAAATGCTGGATCGCGGACCCGCCTAAAAGGGGCCCCATTTCCGGACACCCACGCGTCGCAGAGACCCTAAAACAAACACTCATGTACGGGATAATGGAAAAGAAAATGGAAGCTACTGTAATATATTGGGGTTATAGAGGGATAATGGAAAATAAAATGGAAACTACTATAGTATATTGGGGTTATATAACCCAAATCTGGGAGTCCCCGCGGTGCGAAAGGACAGGCCTTCTTAAAGCCCAGGACATCTGCGTGGAAGGTCAGGGGCGTCGGCAGCCTTAGATTTGCTGGATACATGGGTACACTCGGAGTGGTGCAGCGGCAGGGGAAATTCCGAATGATCCTGTGGTACTAGTGTTAAACACCGCCTGACCCCCCCCCCAGTATTAACTTTGTCCCTCAGTATGTTACATAACAAAGGCCCTCTTACGGGGAATGATGGGTGTGGTATGTTGGTATGAAGGGGTTACTAGGTAGCAGCAACTGTCTAAGAAGTGGTGGCCATGCGGCATTAGCCCAATGCAAACTCTCTCTATAAACCCCACAGGCTAATGCTTGTGCAAGCCCAAACCCCCCCCAACAAAACCCAGTCAACATACTCTAATCCCCACCCTCTTCCCTCAATCCCCATCCATAAGCCCGAGACCTTAAACGCCATCTGCCAACTTACGCTAATTCCAAAAGGCTACGACAACTTGGGGACAGTGTTCTATGCAAACGATCCACTTGGGGTGAGTGAGGTCGAGTGGGCAGGGATGAAATCGCTGCAATGCCCTCGAAATACTAAAGCCCCCAAACTCCAGAATCCTAAATATTCCCCTCTTTAATACATGATGGTACCAGATTGGGGACTTCATGATAGGAGGGCTTGGTTGATTATTAGGGGGAGTTGAACAACTTCCTCAGCTCCAAGATACCAGCCCAAGGCTCCCAAGAAGAAGACCAACGAGGCCTCATGGTTCCAGCAGGCATACTATCAGATCTGCCCGCGTTAGACGTAGAAGTAAGAACATACTGAAGGGTCATTACTTCAGGTTCCGAGAAGCGTTGTTCTTAACTTCAAGGGTGGGTCCCTCCTGCATCAACCACTTTACGTTTAAAATGCTCTTGCAGCGCAGGTCTAGACCAGCAACCTTGTTTCAACAAGAAGGTTTAATGGATCAAGCAGGCCGGTCACTGAAGTGAGGAACGTGCCGTGGTTTTTGAGAAAAGGGTTTCTAGGTGTAGAATGTGATGAGCAAGAGGGTGCATAGTACCAAGCTGTAAACCCTAAACCCTAAGGGTGACTTGGAAGACTCGAAGCACAAGGAGGACTATCCCAAGTAACAACAGATTAGTCTCCCAGAACCTCTAAATCTCACATGAGACATGAGAATTTTATCTTATTTCTCGTCCGGCCCAAACAGTCGCACACATCAGCCATCTTATGAACTGCTTCAGAAGGGGGGGTGCAGGTGAATTCTCTCTAGGACCTAGGCCTTCACACACATGGTGTTGCCTTGATTCCAGGCTGACTCAGCTTTGATTGCAGCTTGATTGCTACTACCCATACTATCTGGGCCCTATGAGACCTATATGTTCAGCCTGCAAAGACAACAGGCAGAATTACTGTACAAAAATGTAGATTGCGTGGGTCCCGGAACTGACGGTATTGCCTGATCCTGTTCTCGCTTCTAGGTATACTCCGCAAACCGGTTTACGCAGCACACTTAAAATCCAGGCAGAGGCGCCACGCAAGCCCAGCAGGTCAGCGTGAATGGCCAGCCATACTGGAAGAGCAGGGAAAGCACCTACTCCAGGGCCACTTGGTGTGTGTGTGCGTGTAGGTGCGTGTTCGGTAGGTATCGCAGCTACCGCCTTTCCCGGGCAGCTGCGGAAGCAGAACGCTTGAGACAGCTCAAAAAGAGGTCCGAGAATCGAACAACCGTCTGCCCAGTGAATCCGCCATGGCTTCACAACATTTGACAAACCTACTCAACCTGTCTAAGCCTCTTGCCACTGGGCATATACACCGGAAACCCGCATGCCAAACCCTAAAGATTTATTATCAACATCTCAAATACCCCTACATCATCCGTAGTGGCGGCTCCACTATACCCATGATTTGTTCAGGGGGTCCCTGTTTTGAGAAAGCCCCAGATCTCACCCCCACTGGCACACACTTCTCTCAGGCCTTCCAGCGGCCAGGGGTCCTCCAGGTGTGCGAGAAGAACCTAGCAAACACTCTTTGGTGTCGCAAGGTGAGGGCTTACCACAGACTAGCAGTGACTTGATGGGAGGATCGTAAAATCCTGCAGCATTGTAGATACGGGTGTGGGTTGAATCTTTGAGCGTGAGAGAAATACTGGGCAAAGAACGCTTTTGTGCACTGCGTGCAGAAAGACAGAGATCTGTCTCGAGAACAGTCGCCAGGACGAGAGCCGTCTTGTGAAATCGTTCGACACACACACAAAGGATTGCAGATCGTGCAGAAAACTGTATGATTGTTGTTTGAACGCGGCTGGGAAATCAAACTGATGGGCTCAAACTCTTGCAACACCGGCCTCAGGTACAACCCAGTCAAGGTTATCTGCTCAACACTCCCTCTAAACCAGCCCTTTGGCTTGCAATCAAAGAACACGTCGAAGCGCTCGACGGGCTGCGACTTTTCCCACAGCTTGGATTTTGCCCCTTCGTCCTTCCAGCTGCGGCTGAAATTGCGGCCCTGTCTCGGGACAGGGTACCCTAAGGGTGCCCCATTTTCAGAATCACGCATGTAACTGGAGGAGCAGGTCCGAATGTATACCCTCAAAGTAGAGGTATGGTTAGTCAGGATAGATTAAGATTCAACAGCTTTGGGCTATAGGCCCTGAGCCCAAAGCTCTGAAACTTAAATCCTGTACATGGCCATCTGGCCATCCACTTACCAGCTCCGAATTCACCAGCGATGCCACCCCCGCATCCCTGCAACAGAACTTGGATCAAGTTCTAGAAATTTGTCGAAGACCTTTCCACATCTCCACCTCTGTTGTAGCAACTCATAAACGCTGGACTCTGCTAGACCCTTCTAGACATGGACTACTGCCACCGAGGGGCCTACATCCCTGTATCTACCACCCTAAGCCCTTGAATCTTCAAAGCTGAAAAGCTGCAGGTCTTGGACTCCGAGATCCCTAAACCCATGTCCCCAAAAATTCTCAGTACCAAGCCCTAAGTCCCCACCTAACCCCTGACCCCTGAAACCCTAAACACTGAAACGTAAACCTTGAAACCCTAAACCCTGAAACCGTAAACCCTGAAACCCTAAACCCTTAACCCTAAATCTATAGTCCCGCTTAAGTAGATAGAATATGGTTTTGGGTATATTATAACAGGATCCCCACATATCCCATATTCTATCTACTTAAGGGGGACTATAAATCTGTCCGCAGGTCCAAGTCCACCGGCGACGTCTGCCACAGCCGGCCGCTTGCACGCAGGCTATTGGCCACCGAAATGCCACGGACGATGGCAGTGTCCACCTGAAGCACTGGGTTTGGGGATTAGGGCTAAGGGCTTAGGGCTTAGGGTTTAGGGCTTAGGGCTTAGGGTTTAGGGCTTAGGGCTTAGGGTTCAGAGCGTAGGGCTTAGGGCTCAGGGTTTAGGGCTTTAGGGTTTAATGACTTAGAGTTCGGGGGCGGATTTTATTTTTGAAATTTTTAAAAATTTCGAAATTTCTAAATCAAGGAAATTTAGGTGCCCTGAGTAATGGTGAGTTTATATGGGATTGAGGGACCTAAGCAATGGTAAGTTTACATGGGATTGAGGGCTTTGGATTTAGGGTTTCGGGTTTAGGTTTTCGGGTTTAGGGTTTATTACCATTGCTTAAAGTTTGGGTGGTCATTTTGGCTTCAACATTTTGACATTTTGAGGTTAAGGAAATTCGGGTGCCCTAAGTAATGGAAAGTTTATATGGGCTTGAGGGTTTAGGGTTTAGGGTCTAGAGTTTAGGGTTTAGGGTCCAGGGCACTGCCTGTAGGGGACAAGGGAGAACCAGATGGCAAAGAGCATGGACAATGGAATGGAACTGGGATATTGTATACTTGTTTACAGGGCTTAGGCATGTGGAGGTGTGGGCATTAGAAGTTGTAGGGATGTCAGCTTAAGTTTTGTTCTCCAGTCTAAACCCTAAACCCCCAAAACACCAAACTGAGAGGAGCAGGGGTTAAATCTCGAGGGCTAAGGCTTTGGAATTCAGATTGGGCAGATATATGAAGCAGCCATGCAAGCCTCCTGCAGGGAAAAAGAGTTTCAGGAGGGTTTAGGGTTGCGGTGAAGTAAGGCTACTGCAAGGGAATTCTTACGAGTGATTCGCCAGACGAGGGTTGTTGCTTTGTGGCGGAACCAAATAAGAGAGTAGTCTTCTTGCGGACTACTGTAACGAAAGAGGTCGATATTGGGGGCCTCTAAAATACCAATCAGCTGTGCGTTTTGGGGGTTGGCTTCTAGAAAGCTCATGGTTGGGTTGGGGTTTAGGGCTTAGGATTGAACATGATCAAGCCACACAAGAATATGTGCTGGGAAGATCTGCAAGCATTGCTAGCAAAACAACGCCTGATGCATCGCTCTGGACCCATTGCATGCTTCTTCAAGAAACTTTCGCGAGGATTTCACGACAAGGAGTTTCCACACATTACGGCCATTGTTGGCAAAATATCTGTCAAAGAACGCTTACATAAAACTATACTTGCCTGACTGGCACGTTGATTGCCTCCCCTTCATGAAACCCTCCCACCCACCCCCCCCCCTAAAGTTGCACTAAGATAAAATAGCATGATATTGGAAAATATTGGGAACACTTTGCACATTCAGGCTGGGGGCGTTTCGATGAGGGCAGCCGATCCGAGGGCGTATTACTGTGTGGAAGATTAGGTCTGAAGAGCAGTTTGCCTCAAAGACGATGATTTCTTGTTTGAAGACCCCAACAACCTGGGTATGTGTAACTGGTACACAAGCAGCACCACACGTTCTACGATCTAAAGTACTGAAGACCTTAGACAAGAAAACAAGACCCTGATCGCAAATAGATTCATGTCGCATTGTTGGCATCCTTCCCTGGGCTCTGTCTGCCTTTCCTAAGTAAGACACACATGTTCCGGCATAATGAAGTTGGCAATTGCTGGGTTGGAGTGTTCCAACACTGGTTTGCAAGTAAGTTGATTGTGACGAACCATACCATGTGCCTACAGGCTACTCGGGATGTGACCGTCACTAAGGTCGTTTTCATGAAATGAATCTAGAGTGAAGGACATAATGGAAGAGGCATGCCCGACCTCGAGCACCTTCATGGCTTCCAGCTGAGACTTCCTTAGTCACACCAAGATCGGGAAGCAGTGAACTTGTCTAGGCAGGGCAGCAACAATCTCACACAATACAAACACATCACACTACTTTTTGCTTCAACCAAGGCCGCAATTTGGGCCACTTTGTTGCATGACTTTGATCATTATCCAGATCGCATTCCCCTTCACAGCAGCCCAGCTGCACTGACTTGTGCGAATATCTGGACATGTCCAGGCTCAACATGCTCAACCCATGGTCCTGATGCCGCACTGTTTGGAGCTTGTGGTCCACAGTTCGCACACAGTGTGGCACCCGGCATGACACCCTGGTAGTCCGCCCCCATTGTAACCCCAAGCATTGAGGTCTGCTAAGGTTTAACCGTTCAACGCATCAAAAATAGTATGTCCTGACCGAATTAAACTCTCAAAGCACTTCCCTTGAAGTTGGTCCTCTGAACAACAATTTAGTCATAGCCTGACGGTCCAGTGTATTTTAGGTTCATTTGGGCGGCCCAATTCTCCCCAACCCAAGACTTACTGGCTGTTGGTGGGGAATGAGAATGGACGTTAACGGAAACATACAGAAACTACCCTATTGTGGGGCTGCTATAGGGATCCGCGACAACCAAACCTCCATCCCCAAAGCAACTCATACTCCCTGAGCCCAAAACGAAAGGTTTTAGGGTTTAGGGTTTAAGGGGCCCTGAAAATCTTATCGCCACCCCAAAATCATGATCATGGAGCTGCCACCGACGTGAAATTCTGTCAAGCCAGCATAAAAAAGCGACCTTACTTGAAGTCCTTAAAACCAGGAACCTTCAGCTTTCAACCCTGAGCCCAAAGCCCCAACCATTGACAATGACCCTTCAAACCTAACCACTGATTCTAAAGCCATATATAGGGGTTACATAGGAATACTGGAAAGAAAATGGAAGCTACTATATTAGAATAGGGTTATATAGGGGTCATATAGGGAAAACCCTAAAACCCCGAGAAAATGGAAGCTACTATATTATAACAGGGTTATATAGGGTAAACCCTTAAACCCCAAGACCTTAGATCCCCATATCCCACCCCACCCTGTGCAAATTTGTGGGTCCTCCGTGGGCGACAGGTCACCTTCCCGGTTTCGGATCTCCATCCTCAGGTTCTAGGAGCCCAACACAGCCCTTGGTGGGGGTTTCCCAAAATTATGGTCCCTATAGTAAGGACTATAGTATTTTGGGGTCTATATTATTGGGTTCCCCCTATTTAGGGAATCTACCAAATCTAGATCCTGAACCTATGGATCTCCATCCTCAGGTTCTCAGAACTACACGACACAGCGCTTGTTCTCCTTTGGTGTCAGAGTAGAAATTAATCGTTAACACCGCAAAGTTCATCGGCAAGTCGGTGCGCGCCCCTAAACCCCACACTCATGCAGAATTATGCAGACCCCTTTTCGTGGTAGGCACAGCTCATTGTCAGGCACGAGGCGGCTGAGCTTTCACCGTCTCCATCTGCACATCCTCCTGCTTCCTTGCTGCGCAGCGCTGTCTCGCGATCGGGCCACGTGTTTAGGGTGTAGTATCGTAGGGTTCCCAGACCCCCTAAAGGATCCACAAAATGGAACCCCCCCAATATGAACCCATTACTACATTTGGGAACCTAGGGGATTATTAGGGGGTTCCATTTTTTGGATCCTTTAAGGGGTCTGGGTTACTGTAAACAGTCTAAGGTTCAGGATCTAGATTTAGGGTTTGGGAGATCTGACCCTCCAGGGCATCTCTTAAACTGTGGTGAGCATATGGGGCTACTCTTACACAATTTCCGGCACTGAGCATTTACAGCTCGTGCCAATGCCTTCAGCGACTCCGAAGAGCCTTGGAGTAATTCGAAACTTTTCCCAAAACCATACCTTCTCATTACAGATTTGGGTTTGGGGAAGTTACCCCAACAATGGGGTATCAAATTGAAGAGAAAGTGGAAAATGAAATGAAAACTGGGATAATGCAGTCGATGGTAGGGTTTAGGGTTTTCAAAAACTAGGGGCGATAAAGATCTTACTATGTTGGGGTTCCACTACTTATGGAAACCACCAAATTTTGGGTCTATGGGGGCTGATCTCATGCCCCTGGCCGCCTGGCTTGCTGTGGGGATAATGGAAAAATGGAAACTACGGATTATAATATAAGGTATTTTATAGGGGTTATATGGGGATAATGGAAATATGGAAACCACTGTATTAGAATAGGGGCAATGTAAGGGTGGAAAGCTTTAAAACTCCTCGGTGACGCTGGGTATTCTGCCAGAGCATCTCAAAATTGAGCCCCCTGAGATGGTAGCATCCACAAAAAAAGGGACCCCAAGATAAGCTCCCCAATAATACGTGAACCCT